TGAGTATTACGACCAGGTGCTGAAACAAAAGACACCTTCAGCTTAAAGCCCCCCATGTCGATTTACTTCTGAGGTAAATAAATACAGAGACATGAGTGTGACATGCTCTTCATACGATAGTGGCAGAGAAAGAGTGGAGTGCTCTGGTTCCACAAGTTTACATATTTACAGATAAGCACCGTGGCAAAACTGGGCATATGTTTGGCCTGGCATGTGCAACCAGAAACAGAGGAAGACAGCAAACCAAGAGGGAACTGGAAGGAAAGAGAAAGAGAGAGAGAGCAGAAGTTGGCTTTGTCTTGCAAAAAAACAGATGCAGTAGCTGCAGTACCAAAAACATTTCCAAGACTGGAGGTCTAATCGCATTGACCCCTCTTTCTTTCTCACTCTTTATGCCCCTGAGCAGTTGTTTTCTGCAGCAGTTGCTCTGTTGTGGTAGATTGCAGTGTTGTCTATTTGCCAGATTCACTCTCTAATTGTCAGAATATCAACATTTTACACATTGCATAGAAAAAGGAGCAGGTGTTATATTAGTGTGCATTTACACTCCGAGACTTAATGCACAGATCTATTTTGACATACAGGATCATATTTCTTTTGTCCCATGCCATCCATCGCCTAAATTACGGCTTCAATCCCACATTAAAATATGGTTTCCAATCCAGAAACTATGCAGTGTGTGTCCAGTGAGAAATAAAAAACGTTTTATTCAAATTGTGAATGGGTTGTAAACAGAAAGCAAGCTAGTCCTTGAAGCTGTCAATAATTCACTGATCTCCTGCAAAAACACCCATTGTAATCAATAAAGTTGTCCAATAAATCTCTAATTTACATTGTGTTTACAATTTGTTGGTTATACACTCTTAAAAGTAAAAGTTCTTTAGTGGCATCTATGGTTTCATAAAGAACCTTTAACATCCATTGAGTAGACCTTGCTCACATGCTGTGAATTGTGTTCAGCTACAATGCTCAATGCATGACAAAAAAGGGTAGTGAAATTTTCTTTATAAGTGAAACATTACTGCATAATACACAATATTCCCTGAATGTATATTGCCAGCAAAGATATCACACTAGGGCCAGATTTGCTAAACAGGGCAAATTAGCATGAGAGCGCAATTCCAAAAAAGCACCAATCGTAGTGGAAGTTCTGCGTGTGATCATTTCCATAATGACCAACACAATCTACCAAGAGCAAATTAGTGTCTGCTTTGAGACATGCTTTTTTGGGGGCGTTACATAATGGCACGATTACTATGAATTGACTAGCTCAAACATTAGTAAATCACCTTGCATGATTCATTTAAATAGTCTTCTCTTATAAAGTTTGCGTCTGAAAGGGAAACTCCTATAAATGCATATATGCAATAAGGTCAGCTGCAAAAAAAAATAAAAGCTATTTTTCACTGCGTGTCTTTAGCAAATCCTCGATTCTGTCTTTAGACCATGATTGTGGCAGATTTACAAAACAATATGTGCTGAAATGTGCTGTTAAAACTGTTTAAACAATCAAAAACTCCTGTTAAAAATTATTCACACATTTAATTTTTGACACAAAGTCCCAGACAGAGGCTATGTTCACACTGTTAGTTTTTGGGATTGACAAACGCATTTACTTATAGGTGTGAGTCTTGAAATGTTTGCTGTTTAAACAGCAACTTACAATAGCATCTCGAATACAGTCTGTATGAAAATTCAACGGGAGTCGAGCCTGTATTCCTTTACCAGTACCCATAGCGACAGTGACCAAAGTAATATCAAAGATGGCAATGTCCATAAAACTGAAAAGAGTTATTGTTTTTAATACGTCCAATTGAGCCGTCAAATCTTCATTAAAGGGATAGTTCACTTCACTTTCAGGTAAACAAGATATAAATACTGTTCGTTTTCTCACACAAACCGCTCGTTTCGTGTCTTAGGCCATCAATGTGTACTTACATTTACGAGTCATTAAATCATGTTTAATTTTGACTTCTCTGTGCATGCTCTTTGGTGGACCCCCTTAGCCTCCAGTGTATGACTGATAGACAACAACGGTTTGACTGAAAAATGTCAAAATTGAAAATACTGTGGAAACAAAGACACCTACATCTTGGATGCCCTTGAGGTAAGCTAAACATATCAAAAATTAATTTCAAAGTGAACTATCCCTTTAAGGAGCATTTGAGTCACGCAAAGAACACAAAACTGATGGGAACAGTAACTGGATCTAAAACCTTCAGATGACACACAGCGCATGTATCCGTTGCTTTAAGTTACCAAAACCATCACATGAAAACCCGCAACACACAGTAGACATGGTTTTGTATCGCGCAGAGCGGCTCGCACTGTATGACAGACAGACAACAAGTTGTCCAGTCCGGTTACGTTCACACAGCTGAGAATGCAGTTGTAAGTCCTGAAAATGTACGGGTGCGAGTTTGGTTATAGACTGCGGTTGTCACTCCTGTAAATATCTGAATTGTGTGTGAATAATTCACTAATAAATTCAAATTCTGTCATCATCAAGTTGTTTCAAACCTGTATGAATTTCTATCTTTAGCTGAAGACACTTTGATGAATGTCGGTAACCAAACAGTTGATGAACCCCATTGACTTCCATTGAATTTTATTGGGGTACATCAACTTTTTGCGGTTACTAATACCAACATTCTTCAAAATATCTTCCTTTGTGTTCAGCAAAAGACAGAAATTCATCCAGGTTTGAAACAACCTGAAGGTGAGTAAATGATGACAGAATTCTCATTTGTAGGTGAACTATTCCTTTAAGGACTCAAATACAGAGCTAACAACTGTATTGTGCTGCTGTGCCTGTGTGAACGTTGCCAGTATGTGTTTGAGTTTCAAATCTTTTAAGTGCACTGCCATAACAGCTGGTCTTCCTGTCTGAGAGATGTGATCAATGCTACAGGCGTCAGACATTTTAAAGTCAGACCTGTGGCCTTTGGAGAAATGCAGAATGATGGATGAGCAGCATTCTTCATATCTCGTCTCCCCTCCTGAACACTTTTGCTCTCATTGACCTTGTCTCCTTCTACCCAGGAATGTTTTCAGCCGCTGATAAAGGGACATCCTCTCCTCTTCCTGTGCCCTGTTTTTTTGATGTGTGGCACCCTGAAGCGCTAACCGCAGATTAGGGGAAATTGGTGCGGGAGAGCAAGATGGCTGCTGGAGGGCCCAGCGGGGTGATAATAGTGACGTGTGAAGATTGGGTTTCAAAGTGGTTGAGAAATGCTACAGAGACGAGGTCTACGCTGAACATCGGGAAAAAGAGGGGAGCCGTGGGTCATGTGTTATGGCTCTGAGCAGAAAAGAGAGGCCATTTTACCGATGATGGAATGGTAGGTACCATCTCAACACCTGCATTTCAGACAGTCAGAGAAGGTCATACAATCTCTCTGTACCCCTGGGTGGTCTCTGTGGTCATTTCAACACCTGAGTATACGGATGACATAATGTTACTGTTTGTGAGGTCTAGGAGGCTCCTTTTAGCATTTGTTTTGGAACTTAAATTCTTTTCCATACACTAACATTACTAATCTTAACACATCTTGGATATAAATAGGTAACAAGGAGCTTCATAACCATTCCCATTCACCTCAATAGCAGTTGCTCGGCTGCTGCAGGATTGTGGATTGTATTGTTCCCCAAGTTTGGGGTTGATTTTTTTTATGTTTTTGAAAGTCTCTTATGCCTGCTTCAGATTACATGATTTTAGCCCGATTTTGGCACGATCCGTTTGACGTAGGGTGTCGTGGGGATTCGTAAACTACAACGGGCTTCAGGACGCAAGATTCGATCGTATCATCTCGTATAGTGTGTCATAGTCGACAACCTACGTCGCGTCTGCTATGCTTCACGACAAAAAGACTAGACTGTTTAATTTTTTTAACGGTCGTCCACGACGGTTCCGTCACATGTATGAGGTTGACCAATAGGAGCACAGAAGCTTTTCCGTAAACAACTTTCAAAAATGGCGAAACGAAAGAGAGGCGAAACGAAATGGTGCTAACGTTAAAGCTAAAAATATATAAGAAAACAATATATATTAATATATTCAGCCCATACTGTCCTCTTCGAGCAATCCAGGAACGTGTCCATCGTCGAGTTTTCTTTCTTTTTTTACTTTTTTCCTCATCCATTGTTTGTTTATATTCGTTTCCGGAAGTAACTCGCTACTAGTTTTGCCTTTTCGATGACATCGTGCGCCGTTAAAGACGGCACGTGATGACTGGTCAGGAAGAAACGTATAGTCTGACATGTGTCTTGTCTACGACACGACAAGATTTTAGGAGTCAAAATCGCATAATCTGACTGTGACTATCGTAACAGACAAAAAAAAAAAAATCGTGTAATCTGAACCAGGCATTATGCTCACCAAAAATACAGTAAAACAGTTATATTGTGAAATAGAATTACAATTTTAAAAAAAAATCTTCCGAAATCATTCTGTTATGTTGATTTTCTACTCAAGACACATTTCTAATCACCGGTACTATCAATGTTGAAAACAGTCATGCTGCTAATATTTATGTGGAAATTGTGATAATTTTTTTAGGATATCTTGATTTAAAAATGTCAAAAAAGCATTTGTTTGAAAATTACATTGAAAACATTATAAATATACAATATTTGGTGTCAATTATTAAGCTTTTATCAATTTAATGTGTCCTCGCTGAATAAAACAATTGCTTTAAAAAAAAAAAATCCTACAGACCCCATACCAGCCAAACCAAAACGTTGGTTCCTCAAACAATCTCATTAGAGTTACAAGCAACCCTTCAGAAAGCATAGTGCCAGCATTCATTCTAAAACTGGGATAGCTAACAATAGTCCCATATGTTATCCTTTTCTCCCAACCAAAATAATTAACTATTTAAACCAGCGTCAAGCAGACAAACAGCTTCACGAGAAAGACCTTGCCAGATAGACCAGCACTGAACTAGCACAAACCAGCCATAGAAGCCCTAATGAAGGTGAGCTTTTTGTTGTTAACTCACGGGGAGATGCCACAGACTCTCCGGAACCTTCACAACCGTCCTCATCATCACATTCGCCACTGCTCTCCCCACTGCCCGTTTCGTCCCAGGATTCCCTGTGCCCCACACCTGGCATGATCTCTTGGATCTCCTACAAGGAAAAAGAAAAACACATCACATCAGTATTTATCAGTATTAAAAAATGTATGCATTACATAAAGAACAAGGTCCGATGCATCCAATTCTGAACAAATTACAATAACGTGTGGGAACACGTTAGGTTTTGCGAATACATGACCAAACCAAACATGGTAATGCTATGGCACTTTCAGTCCCAAGTGCATTTTGGATTTTGCGTTGAATTGTTGCTTCACTTCTAAATTCTCAATGAAACCGTTGGTAGTGCAAACACAACAGCAAAGCTAGTGTATAACCACTTGAAAAACGATGTTAAATATATAGCTAGGTTAACCGACAGGTCTGGCCCAGGCACATCTGCGAACACAGGGTGTTTGGCATTTCTAAATCAAGCCCTGGACACCTCGAGCACTGGTTTAGGGCCAGAGATGCTCCATGGGACGGGTGAAACTGGTTTACTATAGCACAAGCAAAGATATATTTAACCTACAGTGCATACAGTGGAGTCTAAAAGTCTAGGATTTGTCATTTCAACCTGGAAATAAACAAAATTGTAATTGTAAAAATATATTAAAAAATACATTATAGGGGCAATTTCACAAGTGGTCTCAAACTTTTGGACCCCACTATAGGCCTACATCCAGTCTCACTGCCATTTTCATCTTTCCACTGACATTTCACTTTAAATTTCCCTTCTCGTTCAGTATAAGATTCTGACTATAGTAAAGTAAAGGATTTGATTTTAATCTTAACCTACCTGCTGAGGACGAAATGTCAAAACATACATGCTATATAAAATTCCTTGAAAGTCACTTGCACAGAATTGCCCACTGGGGAAATAAATGTCAATGTAAAGGTCAAACTCACATGACCCTTTAACTTTTGAGTCAGCATTATCAGGAGTGGGCAGGCTGCACACGCTCATAGTGACCTTTCACCCCCTGCCCAGGGCTTACGAGTCAGCTAGAGACGTGAAGCTATAGATAAATATAGCAAGTTGGCCAGGAGTTAGACAGACAGATAAATATATAGATGATATTAATGGACAGAAATGACAACGGCTCCACACACATGGCTCAACCCTTACTGCTGGGATTTCTAACTTTGTCCTGACAAAGCACATGGATGCCTTTCAGTCATGTGCAGATTGACGCAAACACAGAAGATGACACGTAACCTCAAATGGTGCTCTGGAGAAAGTTTCAAACACTGCACACATTCAAACATTTCTTTGTTAATAAATGACCTCATATGAAAGCGCTGATGTAATATGCAAAATTATTAATATGACATTGGCTATATAGGAAATAATTTGGTTACACTTTATAGATTAGGGTCCAATTCTCACTATTAACTAACTATTAACTATGACTTTTGCCTCAAACTCCTAATATGGTCATGCAGAATAAGGTATATATGTGCTTTATAAGTACTTGTAAACAGCCAATATCCATATATGCATGATAATGAGCAACTAGTTAATAGTGAGAATTGGGCCCTAAATAAAAGTGTTACCAATAATGTTATGTGAGACAGATTTTGATTCTGTGCACAACCGTTGAAATCAACAACAAAATATACAGGATTTTTTTTTTTTTTTTTAATCTATGAGTTTGTTATTTTATGCTCACCAAGTATGATTATATGGTTACTGGGAGTCATTTGCATTTACCAACCACTTTTTTCCCACTGCAGTCCGTACCATTATTAGAAAAGCCGTGTGATCCTTTTGTGGGTCATGACCTACCAGTTGAGAACCACCAATCTAGAGACTGAGCGTACAACCTACAGGTAAAATCCGTCTCACATTAGTTTCTCTGAAACTCCTGGTTAATGGCATGATGGCAAATGCTTTTCAGCATCATGATGCCAATTCTATTCCTGTCTGCTAATCTATTTTATTGGTAGGTACATAGTACTCCTGCATTGAGAACATGCCCTACCACACTATCAATAGACAAACACGCACTCGCTCGGCCCGGTACAGCCACACACCTCCTCACCCCTAGCATAATGAAATATATAATGGAAACATATCATGGAAAATAGGATTTTCTCTGCTCTATGGGTTTAAGTCAAGTCAAGTCAAGTCACATTTATTTATATAGCGCTTTTCACAATACAGATTGTATCAAAGCCGCTTCACACTGATAACATGAAAGTAGCACAACACAGATCAACAACATTGCTAAACACTAAATAACCCCAACTGAGCAAGCTCAAAGCAAGCCAAAAGCAAGGAGACAGTGGCAAGGAACCAAAACTCCATCAGATTGGATGGAGAAAAAACCTTGGGAGAACCCAGGCTCAGTCGGGGGCCAGTTCTCCTCTGGCTTACATTCATATTGTTTAAATATAAATATTAAATATAAATATTGTTTATGAATCAAACGGCGCCATAACATATCGCAGGCGTTGAGTCGTCTCTTCACAGGCGTTGAGTCGTCTCATCACAGGCGTTGGGGCATCCGAAATCCCCGTGAGAGATTAATAGAGTCCATCCACACGTTTTTATCCGAATTAAGTGATATCGAATGAAAGTTGCCTTATGGAAACAGCAAAATTTGATTGAATTTAATGAATATCGACTCAAATGAAATACGTTTGGTCTCGTCATCGGATTGTATCTTGATTGATATACGGATTATGCAATAAATGCTGGAAACGTTATTATGGTGCGATCCATTTTGCCTAGCAAAACTTTGTTCCCTTGAATGTTGTGCAGTTTGGTGAGAAATGAATGGAAACACCTCAACATGTCTCAAATCAATTCGATATACCAATTTGATCGCAAAACAGCATGTGACGTCATTAGGCACAGGTTTTTATTCGCTTTAAAGCCGTTGGATGGAAACACACTTTCACCAGCTTTATTCGCATGAGGTTTTTTACCGAACTTCAGATGATTCGATTGAAAAAGTGAATGGAAACTTGGCTAGTGTTTCCTGCGTGACAGAACAACTTTTATTAACCAAAAAGAGAAAAATGAGTGGCTGTTCACAGAAGATGCATGTCTTGCTTATTTTTCTTTTAGAGAATCCTGAACAAAAAGTCCCCAAACAAATCTTAAGTTAGCTATTCTCAATACAAACGGTTTCTTAATATATATATATATATATATATATATATATATATATATATATATATATATATATATATATGTGTGTGTAGTAGGCACAAAACAGATTTAAAATGCACAATGATATTTGTATTGAAACCATTATAAATCACCCCTGATATAACAGCATTTGCGGTAGAAATGCATATAAAGTGTTCCTAGTAAATATAAAAAGGTATGTAATTCAATGTTTTAATAATAAAAAAAACTATTCAGAGATGCAAGGTACTCGATTCTGTCTAATTCAACTTTATTTACACCTACTGTATTTTCATGTAAAGCAAAACTTTTCCTGTTCTATAGTTTGCTTGATTCAATCATTCAGAAATATGAGCTATAAGCAACCATACGACCGTCCATATTACTCTTCAAATAACATGAACAAGTATGTGCTTGCCAATCATAACAGATGTCATTTACATACAGAAGTTATAAAGAAAATTGTCATTCAAAACTAAAATCAAGTCTGTTTTGGGCAAGAAAACTTACAGCCTGAGTATAAGCCTTTAAATGTTACTCTGACACAGTATAAACCAAATAAATGGAATTTTACAGGAATCAAATATAAATGTTCAAAAATGAATAACTAATCAAGTTTATATAAACATATTTCCTCGTTTGCACTTTCTACACTCCACTGGGTCCAATAAAAGTCAACCACCGCTTATAAACAAGTCTCAGAAATTAGTATTTTTTTATCAAAGCCCTTATAGACCAATTAACCTTGCAATCATGCAAAGTAGCCAAATTAATAATTGAATTACATAAGCGTGCGGTAATGGACTGGCTGGCAGTGTCGTGACTGAGTCAGCAAACCTGTGGAGATCTCAACCAATACGGACAGTCTTTAAAATGCATTAAATAGAAAGTGCTCTGGACTCAGTTCCCGCTAAAGCTCTAATTAGACACTGTATAAAGAATTAATTAAGGAATGAAAGACTGCAGTGACCATGGTAACAGCTTATTATCTGGCTGAAGGCCAAGTTATCCCGGCCTCTCTTTACTTATAATTATGTGAATGACAAAGTGACACATTATTGAAGCTAAAACTGCCAAGGTTGACTGAGACTGAGAATAATTAAAAATATTAATAAAAAAATATATATAAAAAATAAAACTTTGTTTTCAGAAATTCAAAAGACGAGTCAAAATGATTTTTTTTTTTTTTTTTATGGCAATCAACACTTAACTTTCTGAACCTGGAATATTCAAGATCAAGGTGACTGAGTTGATTCCTAGGGAACATTTGGAATTTAGATAACAGTTTCGGCCAACAAAATTTATTGAAACTGTGCTAATTATAGAGTAGGAGATCTAAATCATTACAGAACTAAAGATCAACCAACTTAGGGTACCCTTCGATGTGCTGCCCTATTTGAGTATGGCCATCCTGTTGAGTACTGTACAAACTGAGAAAGTCACATCTCACTGTCTGTATACCCAATACAGCAGATATCATAATGGGAATTCAATGTGCAACTAAAATCACATCGCCTGTGTGTGTCCCTCTCTTCCTGTTCGCAAACGATCAGAGCCAGAATTCACATCCTAAGAGAGCAACAATCACAGCTAGCCCTGCCATCTGCTCCAAGACGTTTCCAAAGTGAGATCGGACAGCCTCCAGGTTAAATATTGCAACGGAAATATTCCTGCAAAAGTCACTATTGATACATGCATGTGAACATCTACATAAACATCTACATAAAACACAAAAAAAAAATATTTTCTTAAAACGTGAGTGTTGAGTGTTGTCTAAAGAAAATATCTAATTAATTTTATTTAAGCCTAAAATTCACAAAACCGTTATAAATCACGAAAACAGAACGTATTCAAAATATATAGTACCTTCAATGGTTTTTAATGGTCAATGGACCCTAAAGGGACAAAAATTAGAG